ACACTGGCAATGACTTCCATGACGGGTGGGTCCCCTTTCTTTTGATACCTGTTTGTTTGGCAAATATTGAAAGAAGAGGGGCATTTTTATGACTTGAGACCTTTGTGGGACCCAGAATCACAATCCCATAACCCAGACGTGCATCCAAATCCCATAATTTCTACCACAAGCATATAGGAACCCCTGAAGTACTTGGCCTCCTCTCAGGATCTCAGCACCAACCTCACTCTTGGGAGAGGGACCTGACTTGGGGGCTGCTTTGGTTTTATCCCATACTGTTAAGCATGTTCGGAGCATGTTAAGCATGTCTGTTCCCATTTCATTTTCTGTACCCTAACTCAAGTCGGCAGATACCTCAGCCTCAGTCTAGAGAGTCAGGAACTCATATTCCCAAGTCTAAACTCAGGACCTGGTTTGTCATTGAGATGTGTCGTCTGCTCCATTTCATTCTCTCCTGGAAAGCAGGCTGCTCTGACCAGCACAGTGTGTGTACACCAATTCCCACCTGGGGAGATGGAGTCAGGAGAGGGAAGTTGGGCTGGGGCTCAACTCTCTGGAAAAATGGAGGGATTCCTGATTACTGGGGACACCTTATTGGACTGTCCACTCCCATCAACCCTCAACACATGCTAGGGAACTTCCTGGTCCTGCTGGCGAGCTATGAATGGGAAATGTCCTCGGAGTCACTTTGACTTTTCTGTGGTCTGCACCAGTAGACGTCCATAGGCCTCCTGCTTTTGTCTTTTCCCCTCCGTTCCAATACCTGCTTTCATAACCAGACTGGAAACCACCATGCTAGGGCTGCTGTGGCCGCCACAGTTGTAAATGTCCTTGCATTTTAATCTGGACCAGAGCCCTAAGCCAAATAGAGGCAGCCTTGAATTGGCCTCTCAAATACTGTCCATGAGTGTGGGGTTAGGGATGGAGAAGACCCCAGCACCCCTGAAGTGACGCCCATTGTCACTTAGCACTCCTGAGCCCTGGCCAGTCCTGGTGCACTGAGACGCTGCCTGAGGCACTGCTTCCTGAAGCCCTGAGACGCTGCCCTTGTAACAGCAAGGAGAGGTTTCTGAAGACCTCGGAAGCGTCTGCTAGCCTGCAGAATCTCTGATTCCGCTGCTGTGTAGTTTTTCTTTTGTCTCCAGTGCAGGACAAGCAAGAGTCTTCTGGATAAGTCTGGGGTACCAAGGCTGATGGTTGAGGTGGAAGCACTGTTCTTGGGGTGGGAGGAGATCCCACTCTTCTAACCCTTGAGTTGGCTGAACTTGCCTCCTCACCTGGGAGGGGCTGGTGGGTAAGCACTGGGGATCCCGCCAGGTGTGGTTTCCCAGAGGATGGGCACATCCCACGTCCCTGGTTCACTAGTGTCTGTGTACATGGTCATAGATCTTCCCTTCCAGGACTCCCACTGGCTCCTACCCTGGAGGAAGAGCTTCCGACTCAAATTCTGAATGGAGAAGGAATTAGGGATAGGAATTGAGTGTGAAAAGAGCAAGCTCTTTGAAGTCAGACAGAATTAGGTTCGAATTTGGGCTTAAGTCATGGACTGTGTGAGATTGGACAGGTTTCTTAACCTCCCTGGTTCTCAGCTCTCGCCTGTAAAATCAAGGCTACTGCCTCACCGAGTTGGTATGTCAGTCGAATGAAGCCGTGTATGCAAAATACCCAGTTGTGTGCCTGGTACTGATTAGCAAATGTTAACCTTTCTGTCCCCAAAGCCCCCTCTGCCTTGATGCAGCTGACCCAGATAGTGTCACCCCAGGTACCAGGGAATCTGTCCAAGCAGGGGCTGTGGAACCAAGTAGCCAAAATTCTGAAATCACTGCAGCCAGGAGAATGGCCCAGCCTTTTCCCTGCCCTACCCCAAATGCATTCACAACAGGAAGGCAATCAAAGCTCTTAGCCTTTTATCGGCGTTCCCAGGGTTGACTGCCCAAGCTCACATTCCTGTAGAGTGTGCCCAGAGCCTCCTCCAGCTTGTGAAATCTCCCAGACGGAACACGTGTTCCTGGCATCCAGCTTACCGTGGTGCTTACCCTGACCGCCTCATTCCAGGAGTTCCTTCTCTGCAGAGACCCTTTCCACTCTGTGTGGCCACATGAGTCTGATTTTAGAAAACGACTTACAGTTCAAAGCCCCTGAGTTGCCTTAGGACCTTGGATGTTTGGGGAAGGTGTCAAATGAAGAGTTTCCATCTATTTCCTCCTTCACTCCCTCTCTCTTCCCCTCCGTCCCTTCTCCTCTCCTCCATCCACCCCTCCCTCCCACAGACAAGTATTTTTTACTTACTCTCGGGGAAGCCTTGAGCTAGGTGCTGGGGGTTTGGGACAAAAGCCCCAGCCCCTGTCCTTAGGAGCAGGGGCAAGTGAGCTTGAGACTGAACCATGACTGTGGCCAGTGCAGTGAGGGAGGGATGCATAGCCGGGGGCCATGGGGACACAGAGCAGGAAAGGGGTGGGGTCGAGATAGAGGAGAAGCCTGGGGAGAACAGATGTCTGTGCGGGGACGTGACAGAGGGTCAGAGAGGTGTTCCGGGCAGACCAGACCACATGGGAAAAGTCCAGGGCCAAGTGAGCATGATCCACTTGAGAAATGCAGGTGACTGGGGAGGGCTGGCGTGTGGGATGTAGGAGTGGGTTTGGATCATAGAGGATCTTATAGGTTATATTAGGGGGTTGAAGCTTTATCCTGAGCATAATGGGGACCATAGAAGGGCTTTAACTGGGGAGTGGCTTGGTTAGATTTGCGATTTAGAAAGACAGTCATTGACCTCCTACCCTATGGCGTTAGACCCATAAAGGTGCCTGATGCCACACAGTGCAGATTTCCTCCTGAGTCTAAAGCCACGGTGGGCAACTGGTCAGGAATGGAGGAAGAGAGGGGCTTGGTGTCAGGACAGGAAGTGCCGGGTAATAATGTGTCTGTGCTGGGTCTGTTTCTGGTCGGTACTTACAGCGTCTCTGTATCAGAAATGCTGATGAGCAGTTTTGAGAATTTGCAGCCTGAGTCCCTCCTGTTTCATTCTGCCTGTGTGTGTGTGTGTGTTTTTTTTTAATCATCCCCATTTTACAGATAAGGAAACCAAAGCCTAGAGAGGTGAGTGATGGCACTGGTGTTATTAAGCATCAGAGAAGGACCGTTTACTCCCCGCCTTGTGTTCTGAACCACCACTCCTACCTGCCTGCGTGTGGAGGGTGGGGAAATCCACAACAGGAAGGAAACAGCAGATATCAGACTCATTCTCTTCTCTTCTAGTTTGAATAATTTTTTCATTAAAAAGATGGCGATCGTGACCCATAAATGAATTTCATGGCCCACTAATCGTTACAACCCACAGGATGAGAGAACATGGGCATTAAAACGAGGGCTCGGGCATGGGCGAAGCAGTCTCTCTCCATTCAAAATGACTTAATTTTATCCTTTTTAAGTAAAACATGCATTTACCAGAATAGTGGTAAAAAAATTTATGGTGTAAAATGGGATAATTAATTAATTACATGATTGATTAGTTCAAGAGTCATCTGTTGAGCATCTACACTGGATGAAACCCTGGGATCCAGGAATGAATAAAAATGGAATGTGTCTCTTGAGGTGCATATCATCTAAGGTGGAAAGAAACCCATAGTCAATTTCAATGTGACTGGGTAAGTGCTGGGTAAGGGAGGGTGTGTGTACAGAGAGCACAGAGCAGGGCCACCAAACCCAGCTCATGAATTTCCCAGAAGGTGATGCCGTCAGAAGAATGAAGGAGGAGGAGGTGTTGGCCGGAAGAAGATTGCGTGGGGTAGCGGAAGGTGGAGCTGGAGGAGGGCAGAGTCTCTGTGCAGCTGGCGTTCCATGCTGGGCTCAGAGAATCAGCGCTGGACGTGTCTGAGGGGAGGTGGGGCGTGGTGGGAGACGATGGAGGAGGACGGTGAGGACTGGAGTCCAGGCTTTTCCTCGAGGTAGTAGGGAGCTGTTGAAAGTTGAAAAAGCTCTTATTTTC